TTGTCCAATGGGACAAAGTGTAAAGGGACAAAATGAGTTTGGGACGAAGTGTATGGGACGAAATGACACTGGGACAAAATGAATTTGGGACGAAATGAAAAGGGACGAAATGAGTGAGGGACGAAATGAGTGAGGGACGAAATGAATGGGACGTAGTGTAAGGGGACGAAAAGTAATGGGACGAAATGATAGGGTGCCGCCAAAAAAATTAAAAAAAAAGGCTAATTCTAGTTTAGTTTTTTGATTAAACAATCGATTAAAATGTGAATGTTTTTAGTCGATTTTAATCTAATTATTTCATCTTCAATTCATTTTGATTGTCATTTCACAAATAATTTTCAGTGAATTAAATCTTGCTTATAACATGAAGTTGATTAGAAATCTAATCGAGTGTTTTTTTCTCCTACATGTCTTAAGAAATTTGAATATGAAATGATTACTCGCTCAAAAAATTTATGAACAAGGAAAAAAACTACAAGAAAAGTTGCCTTTCATTCAGAAGATCTAATTTTAATCGAATAAAGTAAAACATAGTCAAGAATAGAAGATCATATTTTATGTTAGAAGATCACGACGCACTAAAAAAATTTCATAAAACATAACAGAAGACATAGGAGTTCTTAAAAATTTTAAGTTGAAAATTCTGCTGACTTGATGAAATTCAGCACAATGAAAACTTTGTTTTTCAGTAATAACTTTATTTTTGCATTATAGTAAAGAATAAATAAAAATAAAAATAAATCTTTATATTTATAAAATGAAGATAGATGAATTATTTATTTTGTGAAAATTAAAGAACAAAGAAAGATTTGTTCTGTTATAGATTGATTGACAAATACATAGTATAACAATTGGATATGTGAAGCAATATTCTTTCTTGCCATGAATATCACTTCGACATGTCATATCATTAGAAAATCAAGCAAATACATGAAACAATTTCTATCTATAGTGTCGCACCTTTTGGTGAACTATTTGATGAAAAATTAAAGATGAAATTCTCATAGAAAAGATTTCTTTATGGTTTATTTTTTGTTTTCTTTACTTTATATAAAGGTGGTAAATAAGAAAAAATCTATATTTTTATTTTGTAAACATGAAGATTTCACTTATCTTAATTTTAATTTTAATTTTTGGAAAAATAAAAAAAATTTTAATCTTTATTTAAAAAATATAAAAAATTTACTGATGTTTATTTTATTAACGTAAAAATTGTACTTATATTTATAAAATAAAGTAAAGAAAATGTGACCCTAGTAAAAAAAAGTAAATGTTGTTTTACAACTGAAACTACTTCCTTCTTTTTTCTAGCACGGAGTTTAGTCACTAAAAGCACCTGAGAATATCATTATTTTATCGAAATTTAAAATCTTCCAATAGACATACTCACTTTATAAGTATTATTCTAATCTGTCTATGCCTTGTGTCTTGTTCGTAGGGCAGACCAAGAAAAGAAATACTACGTGATAGTCTCTGATCTGAAACTTGTCTGTGGACAGAATTTTAGATGGAAATTTTATTATTAAGATTTCAGGAAGGGTCTAATCTAGAAAAAGAAAATTTCAATATAAGAATATCACAGTAACAGAAAAACTGATTTTGAAAATATTGATGGTTTTAATGAGAGAATAGTTTATTGTGAAAGTGACACATATTTTCATTTGGTTCTCTCTTGAAATTCGAAATTTGAAAATCATTTTTTTTTTCTGTTAACACAACATTCATTTGAAAATATTCTTTTAAATTAGCAATCGTTTCATTATCATCATCTGCTGAAACAAAATCTTCAAATGTTACTTCATAAGTACCAATAAATAATTCTTTAAATAATATTCATAGAATAATTATTCGACAATTGATTATTTATTTTATTTGGTTCACATTATATATCAAATATAAATAGTGATCAATCCATAGAATATAGTGCAATACGAGAGTAAATGAAATAAAAAACAACGAATTCGATCTATTCTGGTGTTTTTTTGTTTTCTATTTTAGTTTTTATTGAACTCGATTTACTTGTTCAATTACTTTTAATTCGTATTAATTATAATTGATTAAATGCTGATGAATTTTCGTTATATTTTTAATCTTTTCATTTATTTTTTCAACAGCATTTTCTTACTCATATAATCTATCAACTGGAAATTTTTGAAGAAATTATGTCAGATTATCCTATATCATCACATTTTATTTATACTATTGCTAAATTTCTTGTTATATTATCACATGATACACTTAATTCAAAACAAGTTATTTAAATACAAGATTTAATAAAACATTATGATTCATTATTAGCAAGTGGACATGAACCTGAAACACATAGTAGGAAGCAAAACAAACATTTTCGAGAAAAAAGAAATTATCATCAAAATTCTTTATTCAGCTTTAGTAGTGTTAGAATCAGTTGTATATGATTTATTTCTTGTTGAAACGCTACTTAAACTAGTTCGATATAATAAAGTAATATGATATTATAAGAAATAGTCACCATGCGAATAATCAAAATTTCTAAAACGTTACATTAAATGAGAGTGAATAAAAGATGTTCCTCTATAAGCTCTCAAATATCATAGAAACTCGAAAGTATGTATAGGTGTAATTTTTCTCCTCAATCGAACTCACACCTACATTCCAATGAATCAATTATATGAAAATAACTATATTGTTGATGCCAAGAGTTCGACAATATTTGGAGATAACAATATTCAGTTATATATTTGATAAAAGATACGACATTTAAAAGTTTGAAGAAAAAATAGGCATCTTAATTATTGTAAATACGTAAAAGAATCTTTTCATATCATCTCTACGTACTAAAAAAAAACAAGCAATAATAGAATTGATATTTTTATAAACTTTACAATTGTTGATAGTGTTCGAAATGAAGGTGATAAATGAAAACGTTTTCATGACAAATTGTCGATGTACTTCTTGTTCATTTTACTATTGGTTTCTCTAAGGTTATTTTTCTTTTTTCAATAATCTTCGATTATACGTTTTTTTGTTCAAATAGGATCAATCACTTTTGGATATTTATTCAACACAATTAATACTATTTGATGTTGTATCATCATTTGAATTATGACCTATTGATCCATTTGTTGTTAATTTTCGAGCATCAGCAAATAGAAATGTTGATTTGTTTTTATTTATGAAATGTTTCTGTTGTTTAAATTTCTTTTTTTAGGACACCAGTCATCAAACTATAAATCGATTGTTAATGGATATAAATATCATTCTTTGATATCTTGTACAAAATTCAACTAAAGATCCGATATTAACACGATGGAATAATGCTTTATTATTAGTTAATAGAATACGAGATAGTGAGCAAGTATTCGAAATGATTTTATTTATAATTTAAAAACTATTATTCTTGTTTTTGGTTTTAGAGTTCCACTTCAAATTTTACATGACGTAATATTACGAATTTTCGGACAATAACTTGGTCAAATCAATATGACATTAGTTTCTCTGCATATTATGAAAAATGGTAATCAATCAAAGTAATAGTGTATTTGTAGATATGAATATGATAGTTCAGCAATAGAAACATTATTTTTGGTTGAACTTGTCATCTTTGTAGCGAGCACCAGAATGATTAATTTAAAAATTTCGATTTGAAACTTTAGAAAAAAGAAACTAATTGAACAGTTAAAAACTAGTTTCTATCAAAGTCAAAAGATCTTAAGCTCTCATCATAATCTATATGATAGTATCATATCATCCATTCATTTGAGAAGAAAACTTTTCTGCATTTCATTAATTACTAATGAGCAAGCGATAAAACATTTGACTTTAAAAATTTCTATGTTTCTATAAGATCTATAATTTTATTTTAGCTAAAAAATTTCGAACAATGGTAAATGATTTTCGTCAATGATTATTTCATAATGAAACTATATATCGTCTTGATAAATTTTCATATTTAACTAGTTTAAGTGAATATTTTAAATTACTATCATTATTTTATATACGATTATTATTATTACAAAAGACACATATTCTGAATATACTTGATTATACACATAAGAAGCATGATGGTCATCAATATAAACACTATCATAATGAATTATATGTTGAATATTTAACATCAATAATAACATAACATCAATTATTATTTTTTATTTGTACAAAGTGATACATATATGTATGCACATAATTTATTTGGTCTTATACATTATACAACAGTTGCAAGTCATATATTCATTTGGGAAGGAATACATTTATATGAAAATGGTTTTTTTTTATTAGTCTTATTAATTGAATAATTTCTATTATTATCATATATATCTATATTACGTTTAACTGAATTAATTGTTTATGATCATATTGAAATGATGTTAACACTTGATGAATAAATATTAAATAAACAATTATTAACGAAATGTTTACCATTAAGTTTTATAAATATAATCAATAAGAATATCAATCGATATTATTAAAGAAGATTTTAATAATCTTTCTTATCCTATGGATATAACAACAAAAATTAATGCACAAATGCTTAAAAATGTAACTTATAAAAATTGATTATCATTTATGATGTCATCAGTATGTTTTAGTTTAATCTATCGAAATAAATATAATATATATATATATATATGTATATTGAAATTTTTAATCCAATTAAAGGGAAAATGTTTGTTTTTTCTTTAACATTTGAATAATTCAACATTTGAAAAAATATTTTGAAATAGAAAACTAGTCAGTCTACTGTATTTACATATAAAGAAGAACGAGTTTTAATGATATAGATAAGAAAGAAAATATATTACAATTTCAAATAATAAAAATCGTAAATGAAAGTATTTAAACTACATTAGTACAATGATCAAATAATTCTTCTCGAATCTGATTAATCAAATTCTGAGTCGTACTATTTGTATTGTTATAACTAAAGAAAATGATGTCTTTCTAATATGATGAAATGACTAATGAAGAAAATGAAAATAATTTTTAGAAATAAAAAATTTTAAGTTTATGAAACATTCTTCGAAACAAATATCATCAACCGATGGACTAAAAATGCAATAGTGATGATGTTTATCTTATATTCATTTTGATTGAAGGAGATTTATTTATAAAAAAAAAAGTAGTTGAGTTTTATAAAACATCATGAAGTCTTTCTCGAACAAGAAAATTACATTCGAGAACTTCGACAAACTTTCTATAGGTTTAAATTCCTGAACTATGAAAA